GTTCCCGCTCACTGGCTGAGCGAGGCGCGGGAGCAACACCGAGGGTTGCGATCCCGTTGCCGGTCCCCGGTCCGGTACAGGGGCAACACTGAGGGTTGCGATCCATTGCCGGACATGGAAAAAGACAAAAAGACAAAAAATAAATAAATAAATAAATAAAATAAAAAATAAATGATTTCTGGAAACAGAGAAAAAGCAGATGCTGTGCAAGGAAATTAACCACAGAAGCATGAAACCTTCCCATTTCCTTTCCTACTCTATAACGTGCATACCAATGTAGCCACTTAAGAAATCTTTTTTAAGTCAGATCCCATACAAAAACTTTTGTACAAAAGCAAAAAAGATACCTAGTTCATCTTTATAAAAGACGTCCTAAAATAAATTGTCTATTACTTCACACTTAACTCATGTAGTAAAGAAAAAGTGGCAACTCAAAATTTTAAAATAGAATCATAGAGAACAATCTCCTACTGAAATCAGCATAAATAAAGAATGGTTCTTTTTATTCTTTAATACATTAGGAACATAATAAATGTCAAATTAAAACTCTATTAAAATGATCAAATGCTTAATTAAAATATATGGTACTCTCCTGCCCTGGTTACCTAAAAAGATGTGCAAAAAGAGACTTTTTAAGCAGTGCAATACACATTATTTCTCCTAGTAACACAACACTTCAATACCGTAAGTGCATCTGCAACAGGCATATCACCTCAGCAAATACTTACGTTATCAAATAGGGGAAAAGCACTCTTCTGTAATGACCACATTCAAACTGGAGGTGCCATAATTTGTTTAATGAGATCATAGTCATTTTATGGGTACTACTAGGATTTTTTGCCCTAAAGCCCTGGCAACTGTAGTTCAGTTTTGTTTACCAAGACTGTATATTAGGAGGGCTAGCTGGTTAGCTCAGTTGGTCAGTGGTGTTAATAACACCAAGGTCAGGGGTTCAGATCCCTATACTCACCAGCCGTCACACACACACACACACACAAAAAGACTATATTAGGAGATTCCCAAGAAAACGTCAAACTCAAACCACCTACATGAGAATGGAACCTTTGGTCTGGTATAAACCAACTAATCCAAGCAAGTACAAAAATCTTCAGTAATATTGGAAACAGATTGTTATCAATAAAACTTACAGAGCAGAAATGCTTTCATAACAAGATATTCTGGATAATACACATCTTATGCTTTTTATACACCAAAACATATTATTTTAGCCTTCTGACTTAAAATCATTCTAAATGTATTATGTAATGTCTTTGCCAATTACAGTCTATGGAACATAATTCTTAATACTTAGGTCATCATGATGATTATCAATTAATACACTGCAAATTATATACTGTCTGAGGAATACAGAGTATTTCTGGTGGTATAATAAATAAAACAAGTATCTGTACCTTTTTTGGGTTTTTGTATGTCTGGTATAATAGTTCTCACTTTCTTTTCCTCTGTTGTCATTTTCTGTAACTTTCAGTCTTAATTTTATCTTGGTTCTCTGGTCTTGGTGTCTAATCTTGCCTTTATACTCAGTCACCTGCTTCACTCTCTCTAGCAGTAATTCTTACCCTTTGCATCAGACTCTTTGGGAATCATATGAAGGCCACAGAACTCTTCCAAAAAAATTATACTCACAAAATTTTGTATATAGTTTCATACCTCCTTAAAGCTTCCATATACTAAGAATATATTATTAATCTCTGCTCCTACAAGATACTCCCTTTACTTCCCTGGCTATTTTTATGATCATTAATTCTACGTATGAGATCACACTAAATATCTAATACCAAGTATTACCATTCTCAGAAGCTCTAGTTCCTGACTGACTGCTGGTCATTTCCACACAAATGTTCTATATTTAAATCAAACTTAATTCGAAGGTTGATGATCATCTTCCCCAAACCAATTCCTTTCCTTAGTTTCCTTATTTGCCACTGGCCTAAAATCCCTCACATGTTCCTAACATGTTGCTGCCTGTCATGGAACAATAAGATTTTTTGCTGTACAATCTTTCCTTTGTCATTCTTTCCTTTTCAATTCCCACCATTACCCTAGTAACTGGTCTCTGCATTGCCATTTTGACCCTCCAATAATGCATTGTGTATGCTGGCTCCAGAGTTCCCAAAATACCACTTTCAATCATGTCATTCCTTAAATCAAAAACTCGTAATTATCCTCTAATGTTCGAGGGATAAGTTCTAAATTCCATAGTTTACATGTGTTATTTCTCCTTTTGTATTTTCCATTTGTTCCTAAACCCACTGCAATCTAGCTTTAGTCCTTATCCCTAGATAAAACTGCTGTAATCACTAACAATATCAATACCCAATAACAATATGGGTCTTTTATTCAGGTCTTTTGTTCTTAACTTCAATGGACAGTTTGTGACATTTTACACAACTAGCCACTCTTACTTAAAACTCTCTCTTCCCGTATATTTTGAGGCACTACTCCTTCATTGTTCTCCTTCCTATTTTCTCTGTCTCCTCTGCAAATTCTACTACTTCATGTAGGTGTGTATGTGTGTGTGTTTTTATGTATTTGTATGTGTGTTGATTCAATCAGTAGTCCCCAGGGTTACATCACTGTGTGTTCTCGCTCAACCTTTCCTTATTTCCCCTTATTTTACAGATTCATCCTACATGTTTTCATGTACTGTCTATATAGTCTGTATGCATATGCAGTATCAGATACTATCTATCAGACATTGTCTAGATAGACAATAGATAAAATCAAGAAATAATCTATAAAACAGTAAAAAGGATATGGTAGAGGGAAAGAGAGATAAAGAGAGCAAGAGAGAGGGACAGAGAAAATACAATGTTGAAACCCTGGAGACCATAGACATAGACAGATAGATATAGATAGAAAGAAACAGAAAGATAAGATAGACAGACAGTCATAGATAGAAAAGTCAGTGATGACTCTCAAATCCAATATTTCCAGCCCAGATCTTCCTACTAAGCTACAGATCCATATTTACAACTTCCAAATGGTTAACTCGACCT